TGTGACACCTTAACAAAAAATGTCTAGTTAATTAACATGTATGATAATCTTTTTCCTCAAAAAAACATGTATGATAATCTTATTGTGACCAGCCTCACAATACGTGTGCTGATTAAACTCTCGTCAAGATTAGTACCAATATTTATTGTGCAACTGGCCAACTACAAGATGTAGATGCCAAAGTTTAGGGACAAATTCAATGATTGATCTGCCAGGAAACAATATATTGTGCGTAGGTACGTACATCGGACTTGAAAGTTTACACAACAGACAATTATATTAGAGGATTGCTGAGACGTATGCGACAGTGAGAGGCCGGCTTAAAGTACAGTCATATACGGAGTTAGTACCTCTAAAAGGTTTTCTCCTCCCCACAAGAGAGTCCTACGCATCTTGGGTTTTCTCATCTCCGATCCGTGCCGTCATTGATCTGCCTCGTCTCCTGTGCTTTCAGGCAGGGGCGGAGCTATGTGCAAGTAAAACTGTGCCATGGCCCGCTCTGTCCAGTCTGAAATCAGTGAGGTGTTAGAGTAAATTGAGCCATATGAGAAAAATAATTTAGGTTTTCTATAGGCCGGCCCGCCCAACTTTCCATCTGTAGCTCCGCTACTGCTTTCAGGGCCATGAAGGCATGATGAATCCCGGGCCTTGTCAATGAAAAGGCTCCAACTTCGGTTTTTAAAATCTGTTTAGGATTTTGTGTCCTTTGGGAAGGTGAGGCGGCGGTGACATCTTGATGAAATAAGTTCCACCCTGCCTTTCCCCTAGCACGACGGTGCCTCTCGCGTCATTGAAAGATGTGTGGAGGTGTGTCTCCGACGAATTTTGCAGGTTTATGTCGGTCTTTGTCTTCGGTGGATCAACATGGACCAGTTTTTGTTCATCTGTGTTCTTGTGTCTATGTATTGGATATTTCCTATCTATGTTTCTCTTCGTAGGCGATGATTACTGTTCTCGTGTGCTGGTTCTTAGGAGTCTTAGCACGACGACTTTCTGACTATCCATAACAACAAGGTTTGCGCAGCTCCTATGAGAAAGGGGAGATGACGGGGGCGTGCCTTCAGCTATCTCATCTGTGTGTAGTCGTCATTAGGTGATCTATGGATATGAATTTAATTTTTGATACTTCTCATGCTCTTTGTACTTTCATAATGTTAGAAGAATAGATTGATAGTTTTCTTTAAAATAAAAGGAGTTAAAACAAGTTATTTAATCGAGGAAGAAAACAAGCATGCACCTTGGCCAAACATTTTTTTATGAAGGCCATCATGGCTAGATTTATTCCGTCTCAAATAAGGTTACATCGCTCAAGAGTACGTTGATAATAAAATCAGGCAGCTCGTCTAGCCAAGTAAAAGAGTTATTATTATAATAATTATGATTTGCTAGCACATGAGTCGCTTCATTAGCAGCTCTAGAACAATGTTTAAACATGATCTTTCCAATCGTCGACACTAAATCCACACACTCTGCAAATACTGCTAAGCTTCATCCCACCATTGTGTTTGCCCGGTGCAAAAGTAAATTAATCGTGAAGAATCTGATTCTGCCTCAAGGCGATTAAAACCAAGGGAATTTGCAAACTTCAATCCATGCATCTCTCATTGCTAGTGCTTCGGTTGTGATCACATCAGCTGCATATTGTATAACTTTTCATTGGGCGGCAAGGAAATTATCTTTTTCATCCCCTATAATAGCTGCAGTAGCACCCATATCATTATCAACAAAGGATGCTGCATCCACATTTAGTTTGACATACCGTAGCTCAGGCTTATAGCATACAACCGGACTTGGTAAATTCGGCCCCTCAAACGCCCGCGGACGCGCCCGGGCGCGTCCGCGGGCACTGAGCGGGCGCTTCTCAAAAAATGTAATCCACATCCGAACACCTAAATCATCATATCTCAAATTCATACAAACTCATGCAACTATGTCGATGCACATGCGTCATCCGGCAACTCCATCACACTACACTAAACATTCCATCGGACTACAAAAATTTGGCATGTTTGGTTATGATGGAGTTCATCCACGGCTACCCTTTTCCTTTCCCGGCGCCCTTGTCGTCCTTCTCGCGGAAGTACCAGTCTAAGATGCAGTACGGACCGAGGCGGATCTGCTCGTCGCTGGAGTTGTCCTTCTTCGGTGGTAGTCCGGCCATGGCATGGACCGCTCGATTCTGCTATCGGGCGAGGGCGAGTGTGTTCCTCTGCCGCCGTTTCTTCACAATGCGGGGCGGATGGCTTCCTCCTCTCCGGCCGCCCGCGCCGCCACATCAGCCGCCTCCGCCGCCGTCATTTCTGCCGCGATACGAGCCTCGGCGGCCCTTATCTTCTCCTTCCCACGGCGGGCCGCCCATTCCCGGTGGGACTCATAGTCTGCCCGCTCGGTGATGGGGAAGGAGAGGTGTTCAGACCGAGACCGCTAGGATCCAGCACTAGAGGACTCGAGCGCCAGGCAAGCCTACGCTTTGGCGTCGCGGCGGACGGATCCGTCCGTTGGCCAGGCGCTGTCCTCACGGGAGCAGCGAAGTGCAACGAAGACTGTCATTGCCTCCTCCAACCCACACGGGATGACATCCCCAGCCGACGGATCCAGACTGGTCGGAGTCCAATTCACTGCCCGCCATGGGCGCCGGAGGCGAGTTTGGGTGGCGGAGGGGAGGGAGGGAGTGGAGTGAAGCAGTTAGGGTTTGCTCCGACGAGAGGACGGGGACGAAAATAAGTGGGGTCGCGTGGCCAACATGGGTCGGGTCTGACGTGGCGAGCGTGCCCGGGCGCCCCTATACCCATCCCATATTTGGGCTGGATATGGAGGTGCCGGTCAGTCCGGGCGTTTGAGACCCGTTTGAGACGTCCGTCTGAGTCGAAAAAAACATGACCGGTCAGTGACCGAGCAGCCCGCCCGAGCGTATGAAGCGGGTTTAAGAGGTCCGGCTTTAGATGTTCTTATTACTCCACCTCATCTCCGGCCAAACTTTATATTTAAAGAAAACGATTACATCCGCCGTAGTTCGGTAATTACGCAATTATTTCTCTCTCGAGCAGATAGGAAAAAAAAGAGAACAAAATTACACAAACACGTACACGGCGAAGTATTGTTCGGCTGAAAAAAGGTCAATTGACAGTGTTATTAGTGGAGTATATAGTACCTGTTACCACACGCTGAAGAAATGATCAGATCAGATCAGACAGATTACAAGTCTACGGTGTGAGCTTCGCGGCAGCTGGCTGTCGCCTTCAACGACGTACCCTCCTGTATAGAGTATAGACGTACGGCTCATTCGGGTCAAGGGAACGCCGGTTTGACTTGAGGCTAATTTTCCTTGTGCTTATCACCAATCAAACACGGATGGATTAATTAACATGCTGAACAATTCGGTACAGTGCAAAAATTTAAACCCGCCGCCTCGATCCGAAACCAGTAGACACGAGCTATATATAAGCATCCCATTCCCGGCACAGAACAACAACTACCCGGCGACATCGATCGAACACAAAGAGCTCATCACATCTTTCTAGTTCACCGGCCGTTGTCGAGATGAAGCCCGCCGCGCAGCCGGTCACCGGCGTCCCCGTCGGCGGCGCCCCCGCCCCAGCCGCCTGGTCCTCCGGCCTCTTCGACTGCTTCGACGACTGCGGCCTCTGTACGCGCATATACCCTACCTCTCGTGCCAATCTTCCTCCAACTCGTCTCCATGTCTCACATGCGTGTCTAACACATGTGACCTATGATCCATGCAGGTTGCCTGACGTGCTGGTGCCCTTGCATCACGTTTGGCAAGGTGGCGGAGATCGTGGACAGGGGCTCGACGTCGTGCGGCACCAGCGGGGCGCTCTACGCGCTGCTGGGGTCGCTCACGGGGTGCCACTGGATCTACTCCTGCACGTACAGGTCCAAGATGCGCGCCCAGTACGCGCTCCCGGACGAGCCCTGCTGCGACTGCTGCGTCCACTTCTGCTGCGAGACCTGCGGCCTCATCCAGCAGTACAAGGAGCTCAAGGCCCGTGGCTACGACCCCGACATTGGCTGGCACCTCAACGTCGAGCGCGGCAACGGCGGCGCCGGTGTTGGCGGCGTCAACCCGCCCGGCATGCAGGAGATGGGCCGCTAGATCGTCAAACTCTGCCGCACGTGTGGGTGGAGGATCGCTCGAGCAAGTGTTCCAGGTGCTTGGTAAGTTATTGCATAGTAGTACGTACTTGTAGCTTTGTTAAGTTCCGAATGCATGTGGTGCGGTGGAGGAGTATGTTGTATTGGAGTACATGGTGATGTGATAAGTTGCTGTCAGGAGTGGGAGGAGGAGCAAGCGGACAGGAGTAATGCCACGATGCATTTTGTTCAGTGTACTGTATATTTGTATTTATTCATCGTATTGTATATTTGTACAAATAAAATCGAGCAAACGACGGGATCACCGTACTTTTACTAGGCCAGAGCATCTATAACTGGTCTACTCAAACCCTTTCTATACGCCCATGCAGGTGGCCCGATTAATGACTGATCACAAAGTCCCGATCCAGACGAGCTCATACCGGCCTTATAGATCCGAGCTAACCGGCACCTCCTCGTATTCAGCCCAAATCCAAGGCGGATATGGGGGGGTGCGAGCGGATCCACGCGTGTCCGTCACGTTTGATCCGGGCCAAGTTGGCACACCCAAACCGTCCATAAATTTGTCGTCATCCGCATCTTGAACCAAACGCTAGCCACTCCACTCCGCCCCCAAGCTCCCTTCCGGCGACCTGCGGCCTTCTCCGACATGACGGGCAGCGGATCTAACTCCTTGGTCTCTCGACTAAGACCACGCCCCAAGCGTGCCCGAGGAGGTGGTGGTCGCCTGCATTGTGCTCTGACCCTCCCGGGAGGAGTCCACCCACAGCGGTTGGACTCAACCGGCGGGAATCCATTTCGTCTGCCCTAATATCACTTGGATCTGGTGCGAGGCACGTCGCCGCTGCCTCCCTGGATGGGGTGTGGTCCGTCTGGCGCCCAACGCCATGGCGGCAACACAACCCCTTCGTTGGCACGTCTTCGCCATCACGCCGGGTTCCGAGTCAGAGGCAAGCGCCGACACTTATGGCTCGTCCACGTCGGAGGCTAATATGGCGCGATGTGCTCGCCATGCGAGGCAGAGGGCATGGGAGGCCACATCACCCTTGCGGCAAATGTCGGGGAGGAGAAGTCGCACACCATGACGGCAGAGCCTCTGTGGGTGACCGGCAACCCTCGCGGTGGACCTATCGGGCTTCGACCACGACGGGTGTATCATGGACCTCACATCGGCCGGCGACATCCAGTCCATGGGCTCTGACAAGGAAGAGTAGGGCATGGGAGGCAGTGGCGCCTCGAATCCCATGAGCCGGTCTGTGTCCTATGTCCTACTCTAGCTCGTCAGATACCGCACCTTCACTCGTAGGGGCTCAGTCGGCCGTCAAACATGGGCACAAATGTGGAACTGAATGAGCGTCGGCGAATATTTAGTTTACGTTTTTTGTTGCATGTAATTGTAATGGATTTGAGAATTCATAATTGTGGTATTCGGTTGTGGAAGAAAGAATTTGAGGTGTGACCTGTTATTGTCTGCGGACATTAACTATATGCGGCTGTAAGTGCTCTAAGTTCACACTGAAAATAACATCACATGGTCGTCACACTACGCGGAAACGCGTGTTGCCTAGTGTTTGGGCATAAGCCAAATGCTATTTCTTGGGTACTCAGCTTAGCCCAGTGTAAGAGAAGTACTTGTCAAAAAACACATGACAATTGCAGGGCCCTCTGATAGACAAGAGTAAACAGAGTACAACTCCAAAAAAAAAGAGGTAATAGCACTACAGGTCCCTGAACTTGTCATGGAGGTGATATGGTTTGGTTCTCAAACATAAAAAAATGGATTATTTCGTCCTTCAACTTGTCATGGAGGTGCAAGTTTGGTCCTAGGCCAATCACAGCTCGCCAACTGGAGCCAGCTTGGCTGGGCCGGTCAGCGTCGCGCATTTTGTGAATTGCCCCCTTTCTTTAGCCCTTATCAACCCGCACTCACTATTAGCAATCTTATCTAAAAACATCTATTGTATTAACTATTAGCAGACTTATCTAAAAATATTTAATTGTTTAACCAGACCAATTCTTATTGTTCAGATACATGGGGGCAATTACAGGAATTAGTGATCTTGATTCTGTCCGTTGGCCAAACTCACATTGGCGGTCTGTGAAGGTATATTTACTGGCTAACACTTACTATTGTATCCAGTCAAGTCTGTACATGAACATCGCCTGTTGCTTACCCATGTATTGTTAGATGAGACGCAAATTCCTATTGAGATTGCTTGGTATAACTTCACAATTTAGCATGACAGAAAACTTTGTCTATGAAAAATGCAGGTTGGCTGGGATGAATCAACTGCTGGAGAGAGGCAGCCAAGGGTGTCACTTTGGGAGATTGAACCCCTGACAACTTTCCCGATGTACCCTACTCCTTTTCCACTCAGACTGAAGCGACCGCGGCCAACAGGCTTGCCTTCTCTGCATGGTATGATGGACAGCTGGTCTCTAGCATTCATAAATAGTTGTGCTTGAATAATTGTGTAGTATGCTTTCAATATGGAGTGTTATAAATTATCTATCTCTTTCTGTAGGTGGTAAGGATGATGACTTGACTTCCTCGCTCATGTGGCTTCGAGATAGCGCAAACCCTGGTTTCCAGTCGCTGAATTTCAGCGATGCTGGTATGAATCCCTGGATGCAGCCAAGGCTGGATGCGTCGTTATTTGGTTTACAGCCTGACATTTACCAAACGGTGGCTGCGGCTGGGTTTCAGGACCCAACAAAGATGTCACCTACTATGTTGCAGTTCCAGCAGCCACAAAACATGGTTGTTAGAGCTACGCCACTTCTACGAAGTTGGATTTTGCAGCAAATGCAACCTCAGTTTCGGCAGCAGTCATACCTTCAAAACATCAATGGGGCCACGATCCAGGGCCAGCTCAGTCCGAGTTCCTTCAACAGCAGCTCCAACGGTGCCAGTCCTTCAATGAGAAAAAGCCACAGCTTCTCCAACAGCAAGAATCAAATCAGCAGCAATCGCATAGAAGGAACTCAAACTGATCCTGGCCCTGGATCGTGGCCCCATTGATAAGAGCTAAAGACAGGGGGCAATTTGCAAAATGCACGACGCTGACTGGCCCAGTCGAGCTGGCTCCACTTAGCGAGTTGTGATTGGCCCAGGACCAAACTTGCACCTCCATGACAAGTTCAAGGACGAAATAATCCACTTTTTCAAGTTTGAGGACCAAATCATCACCTCCATCACAAGTTCAAGGACCTACAGTGCTATTACCTCAAAAAAATAATGCCTAGGTTTACAAAGAGAACTCAACATACTCCGCAAAAAAACTTTAGCTTATACACGAGGCTTGGCAAAGCACCTACCATGGGGCCATCCTCGCTGCCCTTGACGGCTCTGTGACGGCGAGCGCTATAAGATGAGTGGTGTTTTACGGTATAATTCGCCTACATCCATTCCTTTATTTGTTTTAAAGGCAAAAATGTAAGCCGAGTGCCCAAAAGAAATCACTCGGCTTACACTCATGCCCCTTCACCTTCATCTCTCCCATTTATAAGGGGTCCCTTCCGTTACCGGTTTGGCTGTAACCCTAGTCATCTTGCCGCCTCCAGATGTCCTGGCTTTATATTGATTAAAAACCCTTCATCATATTTATCGAAGGTTTTTTCTGCGATAATTTTTCATTGTCACTGTGATAATCACCGTCAATCTTCCACTTCAGGCCGGCCAAGAGCCTTCTGTCAGGATGGTTACGTTGAATAAACTCTCGTCGAGCTTAGCAATATTAATTTGTGCAACTGGCCAACTGCAAGATGTAGATGCCATAATTTAGAAACAGATTCAATGATATTTATTTTTTGCGAGAAAGATTCAATGATTGATCTGCCAGGAAGCAATACTCTGTGCGTGCGTGCGTACTCCTACGTCGGACTTGAAAGTTTGCACAACAAACAATTAGATTTGGGGTTAGCTGAGACGTACGTGAGAGTGAGAGGCTGGCTTAAAGCACAATTATATACGGAGTTGGTACTTAATCAACAAGTCAAGCCACATGAACGGGGGAAGAAAACAAGCACGCAAGTAGTTGAAACTAGGCAAAACAATTGCACCTGCCGTAGTTTGGTAATTATTACGCGTGTTATTTCCCTCTGGAGCAATAAGAAAAAATAAGCAAACAAAATTACACAAATATGTAGACAGCGAAGAATTTTTTTTCAGTTGAAAAAAGTCAATTAGCCGTGTTATTAGTGGAGTATAGTATATAGCTTTTTTTTTGAGAACCTATAGTATATAGTACCACACGCGGACGAAATGATCTCGCAAAATATATACACTACAAGTCTACGGTGTGAGCTTCGCGGCAGCTTGGCTGTCACATTCAACGACGTAGACGGTAGACATGTATAGAGTATGTACGCACGGCTAATTCAGGTCAAGGGAACGCCACTTTGACGTGCAGCTAATTTTCCTGGTGCTTATCACCAAGCAAACGCGGATGGATTTAATTAACGTACTGAACTGTTTTGAATAGTGCAAACATTCATACCCACCCCGACCACCCCCCGCCTGATCACCACCTATATATAAGCACTCCAAGCCAGCCCATTCCCGGCACCACAGCTAGCGAGCGACATCATCAACACACAAAGACCTCATCACATCTTTCCAGTTCACCGGCCGTTATGGAGATGAAGCCCGCCGCGCAGCCGGTCACCGGCGTCCCCGTCGGCGCGGCGCCCGCCGCCTGGTCCTCCGGCCTCTTCGACTGCTTCGACGACTGCGGCCTCTGCTGCGTGACCTACTGGTGCCCGTGCATCACGTTCGGCAAGGTGGCGGAGATCGTGGACAGGGGGTCGACGTCGTGCGGGACGAGCGGCGCGCTCTACGCGCTCCTGTGCTCGCTCACGGGATGCCAGTGGATCTATTCCTGCACCTACCGCTCCAAGATGCGCGCCCAGTACGCGCTCCCGGACGGGCCCTGCTGCGACTGCTGCGTCCACTTCTGCTGCGAGCCGTGCGCGCTCGTCCAGCAGTACAAGGAGCTCAAGGCCCGCGGCTACGACCCCGAGATCGGCTGGCACCTCAACATGGAGCGCCGCGCCGGCGCCGGCGCCGTCAACCCGCCCGGCGTTCAGGGGATGGGCCGCTAGCTGGCTAGCTGGTCGAACTCAGCTGCTGCTTTACTATTGCCGTTTGTGTCATGCGTCGTTTATGTTTCATAAATTACTATTGCATATATGGTACTAGTGTCCGTAGTAACTTGTCAAAAAAAGTAACCGTGGTAACTTGTGTGAGTACTCCCTCCGGTGCTTTTTACTCTGCACATTAGATTTGCCGAAAGTCAAACTTTGCTAAGTTTGACCAAATTTATATTGAAAATTATTAGCATCTATAATATCTAATAAATATAGTATATATATTTCAAGATGAATCTAATGATATTGATGTTGTTATGTGAATGTCTATAATTTTTTATATAAACTTGATCAAAGTTGGATGAGATTGATTTCGGACAAACATAATATGCAAAGTAAAAAGGACCGGAGGGAGTATGTTGTATGGTGATATGATGACTTGATGTTTTGCTCTTGCAACTTCAATAATCTTTTGGTTTGCTAAGTGCACTGTGCACACACCGTGCACCAGAGTTATGACTTATGAGCTGGTGTCAGGAGTGGGAGGAGGACCAGAACGTTCGTGTGTAGTCTCTAATGCCTCTATGCAATTTATTTCAGAGTTCAATGTACCTTATATTTGCATTTTATTCATTGTATTGTAGTATTATTTGTTAAAAAAAAGAGCAAACGGCGGGATCTTTGTCCTTTTATTAGGCCGAAAAGATTTGCAAAGGGAAAATATCAAGTACATATGATGTCTTATTAATAAAGTGGCTGTATGCATCGCCCAGATGCAGAGGCAGGGGGTCTTCCTCCTTTTCTAAAAAAACTGATGTCTTATTAATTATCTAAGAATGTTTTTATCCCTGTTACCTTTGAAAGTCAACCATGTGTACCTAATCCCGTTTCGGAGACATATTAAGCAAATGTTGATAGTGTAATTTCACACTGAAAACAACACGCATGGTTGTCATCAATCATGCGATAGGTAGAATGTGAGTTAAAAAGGCTAACACAATAGGAAGAACAGAGATTTGCTGCCTTTTATTAAGAAGAGTGGTTCGTCATAAAAATAATTACGAGTTTGGATGCTTCAACTCTGGTGAGGATGACCCCACATCCTTAGCTCATAAACTAGTTCAACGGGAGGAGCCAAGTGGAGTTTTAATTAGGGTAGAAACATATCCGGTATATCAAACTTGCTGACGTTCCCTCAAGAGGTAGCCTGAGAAACTATCGTTCCGCGCGAAAGGTCATCTGAGTGAACGCTACGATCTGGGAGTGTTTCTTAAAAAAAAAGACACTCCGAGCGAACGCTAGGGAACTGCCATGCTAAAATAGGTTTATTTGCCATGCTATCGTATAAAAGATTGACATTTTGTAAAAAACGATAATGCTAGTAGAAATATAGTGAGGAATTTGTTAGGCTGCAGCAGAGTATTGGCATGCGTTTTCAGAGATTTATCATGATGATAGCAACGAAAATTGTCATCCTAAAAAATAAAAATAAAATCCGATTCTCCAAGATTTGCCATCCTGGTAGAAGAAAATTGTCATGTTACATCAATAGGACCCGGTGAAAATTTGCATGCTCTAAGAAATAGAAATTGCTACCCTAATTTTTTTTTCCATTCTGGATGTGTTCGCTTAACCCATTTAGTGTCGTTAGCTCATAACTCCCTCAAGGGGTGCATGGTAGCAAACATTGATTGTCATGTGTCTTGCTTTAAGATTTGTACATAAAAGTTGAGCGTGTCACAGTGCGTTCACAAAAAAAAACACCTCAAAGTTGACATACTTACCATCTAAGGATATTTAAACGCTGTTTAGCAATCACACACCACCAAATAACTACCACTAGGCTACAACCCAGGTTATAGAAGAAAATTTACTCCTCACAAGACAAGATTGATCGGTTCTTCATCACAATACTAGCTATACCACCAAAGAAGAAGAACATGATATGAAAAAAAATTAAACTCTAGCATCTGCTTCGGCATTTAAGAAGAAATCGGAGCCAGGGGCGAGCCTCAGGCCTTGAACTCAGACAGGCGAGGCATAGACACAAACTGCTACCCACTTAAGCTTTGCTATGTTCTTATGATAATGAAAATATAAAAGGGAACAAACCAAAACACAACTAACTCCCTAACATCGGCCATGAAGACAGAGTTAGGACGATGGTCGAGTTGGAAGATACATATTCCAGAGGCAGTTGTCTCCATCGCCGAGACGGTAACGCCAAGTAAACACAAAACTAACAATAAGAATCTGGACTTTATTAGAAAAAAAGAAAACCTAAACATTCCATGATGGTAATCCCTGTTTGTCGCTCTGTATGACAAAATGTCGAGCTGACCCATAGCGACATGGGCCGTATCG